TTTGGGGCAACCATTCATTATACATTGTGATGCCTCACAAATAGGAATTGTAGCATGTTTGTCACAAAATTTCAATAAACGCAATTATCCCATAGCCTATGCAAGTCAGAAGTTAACTCGAGCTTAGCAATCGTGGTCTACTATTGAAAGAGAAGCATATGCTATTGTGTGGAGTTTGAAAAAATTTGAAACCTCGATTTTTTGATCCAAAGTTGAAATTTACACCGACCATAATCCTTCACCTTACCTGACAAAATGTGCACCGCAATCATCTAGATTACAACGTTGGGCTTTTGCTTTACAACAATACGAAATAAACATGAAGCATCTACCAGGAGTCAAAATGGGTAACTCAGATGCTTTATCCAGACTGATAGAAGGATGAATATCCTTTTTATTTAATGTCTTTTCACGGACTAAAAACATTTATGGACAATCCACAAGGACTTTAATTTTGGTGGTTAGGTTAATTGTTAACTTTCTTATTTTCTTTAAAGCTTATTGCAAGATATATCTTTACTAAATAATATTTGTAAAGTCATTAGGATTTTTTAGAGGCAGAAAAGATGAAAAATAGCAAACGCCTTCGCCGGGAATCGAACCACGGACATCTGGAATACCGGCACAGCGTGCAGAACCACTACACCACGAAAGACGCTAGGAAAGTGGGAGATATACCTTATACACAACCCCTTTTTAAAGGGCGACTAGGGTTTTAGGGGACCTAGTCGCCAAATCCTGGGTGCGGAGAATCATCATCCACAACCCTTTTAGTTCGGGCGCCACTTTTAGAGTCATTAGGATTTTTTTAGATGCAGAAAAGATGAAAAATAGCAAACGCCTTCGCCGGGAATCGAACCACGGACCTCTGGAATACCGGCCCAGCGTGCAGAACCACTACACCACGAAAGACGCTAGGAAAGTGGGAGAAATACCTTATAAAGTTATTGAAATTAGTTACTTACAGCAATTAGATGATTTAAGTGTAGCATTCTTAAACATTTGGAAGTTTTTCTTTAAAATGTATACTTGTAAGGGTTAACTCTTTGTTATGCAAATGTTGTATTATTTTATATTTAGTTGATTAGTAGTTATAATGTTAAATTGTGAGCACCAGGCTTTGTTATCGGAATGTGTTTGGACATCCTGCCCAACCACAATCTTAGGGGGAAGGTATAGTGCCTGGTCGTCCGAAACTGTAACCCTGAAAATAAGTAGCGCCCTCTGGGCGGAAAAGAAGTAAGTTGGAGACTGGCTTTCGGTGGAGAGGCCGAATGCTGTCTTTCGGTGGGAGAGGCCGAATATAGTTTACGTTGATGGTGTGAATAAATTAAAAGATAAATCTGAGTCTATTAATTACGGCACCGGACACGGCTGGATCTTAAAATAGTTTAAATAGTTTGCACTCAAATCGCTGTCACAGCTGTTTGAAAAGGCTAAAACGAAATTGCGTGTTTCAAGGATACACATGCGAAGGTACAAAACCCTCTCAATTAAACATAAATATTTATATTAATCTGAAAATTCATCTATGATTTTCCATCTAGCACAAAAGAGCTTGGAAACGTTGTACTCTCTACAAGTAAAATATTTATCTTTTTATCCCATTAAGAAGTGGGTGGAGTCCAGTTTTGATGTCTCGTGTAAAAGGAAATTTGGATCCATGTAATGAAAATAGAGAATCTTAAAATATAATAATCTCATATTCATAATTTTTGAAGATTTGGGAGTTCTAATACCTCTAGGAAGCTTATTTGCGCGGTTAAATTTTAAAAAAATCAGTAACTGCATCACCTATAAACAAAATTAAAACTTCCCTTAAGCATTTCAGCTTTTGAAGTATTATTTTATTATGAAATGTATGCTAATAGCATTGTTAAACTGCATTGAAGGAGCATTCACATGACTTCGCTCGCTTATAACATCTTTGACGCTTTTTAAAAACTTATTAGTGAATCTCGACATGTTAAATCAAAGTAAATAATTCTTGAAAGTTTAAACAATAGTTATCACTCCATTCCTAGCTACAACTCGTGTAATTCTGGTATTTAGAGTGAAACCAGAACTTCCTTGCTGAAACCACGCTGCATCATCAAATCCTGTACAGGACATTCGGGAAGGCTTAAAACTTTCAAATATTCAACTTCATACCAAGTTTCGCATAAGCAAGAGAATAGTCGGCTAATAGCAGCGAAATGCATGATGATATTTTTGATTGCCGAAAACCACTGTAGTTTGGCATTCATATTTAACATAGAGAAAATGTAAGTGACAAAGAAACTTGAAATAATGATATATATATAACAAAGAAACTTAAAATCGTTTTATGATTTATTTTGTGTTAAAAATATTAAGTTGCCTAATATCATTTTCCGATAGTAGCTCCTTTTGGTACATTTCTGCTAACGGAACGTTACTTAGCTTGGTGCGAAATCTAACTATTGGATTGACAAGAAAGTAATTTCGGCTTGCACATATAATAGGTGGCTCAAAATTATTAAGTGCATTTCATGTTTCGAAAACAAAAAAAAAAAAAAAAAAAAAAAAGAACATGTTCATCGTTTTCTTGGAAAGACAATTTAAAACAATTTTACACAACAAAGCTTTAAATATTAAGTATCTTTCACATGAGCTCCATTTGTGGCACACAGTTCAAACATGAAATGCTCTCAATAATTTTGAACCACCCTGTGGACAACATTATATTCGTTTTGTTATTCTACTGCCAATCTCATAATTTCTTTCTTTTTTGAGGCCCACCAGCATCTGAGCGGTAAAGTCGCTGAACACTGGTAGTTCGGTCCGAGGTTCGAATCCCGCGAACGGGCTGGCTGCATGGGCGTTTTCGTGGTTTTCTCCGTGTGTAACGTGTATACGAGCCAGTTTCCCTTAGAAAGTCCTCCACGAAGGCATCCCTCCCCTTAGGCAGATAACCCTCGAGGCTTTTCCATAATCACACACACACTTTCTTTTGAGATTTGGCAGCTGAAACTTTAAGATTGTTGATTGCTCTGTTGATTGCTCAACAGAACGCATGTGTCAGAATTGGTTTTTAAAAAGTTTCGTTCTGGATATTTTTCACTTGAGGATGACCAACATTCTGGCCGACCTTCTGAAGTTGACGACAACAAAATTAAAGCCATAAATCAATCGAATCGTTATATAACTGTACGAGTGATTGGAAAAAAGTCAAATGTATCACGCACAATAATTGGAAATCAAGATATCTTGTACTGGTTAATAAGAAGCTCGATATCTGGATTCCTCATGCATTGAAAGAAATTCATTTAACACAGCGAATCAATGTTTGCGATACGCATTTCAAACGTAATGCAATCGATTTTTTTGAAACGAATTATCACTGGTGATGAAACATTTATCGTCTACAATAACATTAATCGAAAATGATCATAGTCCAAGCATGGATGAACCAGCACAAATCATATCGAAAGCTAAATTGCATCAGAAAAAGATTATGCTATCGATTCGGTGGGGTTATAAAGGTGTGTATTTTGAGCTGCTTCCAATTAACCAAACGATTAACTCAGATGTTTACTGGCAATAGCTTATAAAACTGGAGGAAGCAATTAGAGAAAAGGCTAGAATAGATAAATCGCAAATGAATCGTGTTACACTGCGACAATGCGAGATCTCACACATCTTTAGCAACAGGTACGAAATTGTTGGAGCTTGGCGGAGAAGTGATGTTGTATCCTCCACATAACCCCAACTTTGCGCCATCGGATTACCATTTATTTTGAAGTTTACAAAACTTCTTAAATGGTAAAAAGTTTAGTAATAACGATGACCTTAAATCGCACTTGGTTGAGTTTTTTGCTGATGAAGATCAGAAGTTTTATGAGCGGAGAATCGTGAAGTTACCAAAACTGTGGCAAATGGTCATCGAACAGAATGGAAGATATTTGACTGTTTAAAATTCAGTTTTTGCATAGAAAAAAATTGAGTTTTGTTTCACACTAAAACCGAAATTACTTTTTTGCCCAGGTAACATTAATGATACTTTATGAGAATAATGATGTGCAATTTCCGACATGTGCTGGAGGTTTGGGGCAAATGCAAAGGTTCACTTGCAAGAGGTTGTGAAACAAAGCGGCGGACACAAAGAACACATTCTACACTAACTCAATTTTAATGCTAAAACAATTAATAATGCTTTCAGTCGATCCAATATTTCGATGATAAATAAATGCATGATAAACAAAATATATTGTATGATATTTCGTGCTTCACCTTGTATGTTGACATATAATCTTTTACTAACATAATAACGAATTTAATTGAAAGAGTTCACGAATACGTGCATTAAAATAAAGAGTACAGAAAAATTAGTATATCCATTTGATTCTATTGGTGATCTATCTACGAAGTACATCACAGTGAATTCGATTAAACAGATGAGACTACATGAAATTTTAGTGCGGTTTAACGTAGACGTTCATTCATTCACGATATGAGTGCTTCATTTGTTTATTTGCCTTTTGTTTGCTTAGCATTATTTAATAAAAGCAACATTTCTGTCATGAAAAAAATCTTTTTAAAATTTGCCACAACATATCGTTCTAGCTAAAGCCAATTGCTAACGGGCGTGGAGCTTTCTCTGGCACATTTTCGCCAGAATGGCTCATACCGCTTTTCAGTAAGCAATCACGTTTTCTACCACCGATATGAAAATGGGTAATCTGCTTCGAAACAGCATTTTAATCCAATCTCATAGAATGCTGAAGGGGAGTTTGTTCTTAATGAAGCATTTAACTGTACTAATATTTGACAAGGATCTAACAGGTTTCCATTCTAGTAGCATTACAGTACGACCATTGAGTGAAAATGATCACAGTTGAAATCTACAGCTGTTAAAAGAAGTATGTGATTATCTACTAAAAAATTCCCAAGTTATTCGATATTTTTAAATTAAATTTTATGTGGAATTTGCGGTATTTTTATATCTTTGTTTTTTATGAAAGCGAAACTTAGCGACTTACCAAATATTCTGTCAATGGAGATATCTGTTGGAAGAGTACAATTGAAAATGGCAAAATGGCGCTTTAGTCTTTCTGGTATCTCATTTCTTCCACCACCAGGTTGGCACATAGCGGCCAGATAATGAATGTCAGCTAGTTTCAGAAACTCTCCAGGACGTTCCAAGCAGTAAAATCCAGCCATTTCTATTGTCTGACGAACAATTTCGTTGGTAATCTAAAATACCCACATGTGAAGAGATAATTCTTAATATCCATTATATTCACTAAATCTTCGTTTGCATAAATTTGATTTTTAGGGAGAATTTGTGAGAATCTTTTAATTCTAGATTAAAAGAATACAATTTGTGGAATGAAAGAAGGCGCTCAATAACATTTTACTTAATGTTCCATTAAAACGTTTCGAAAATTATTTTACAAATCGCAGCTTATTATGACACATAAAGTAAGTTGCGTTTCAATTGCCCGTTGCAGAATTTAATGGGTATTAAATATTTTCGAGTATATAAAGTAATTTTAAACATTACGTGAAATTTCATATTTTATTTAAATACAACATATCGGATATTCTTTCCGTTACGTTCAGTTATATTGTGGAGCAAAAATATTCCGCAGAATTTTTTTTCTATGAACAAGGGTCAGTTACGTCATCATTCGCGAAATTTATAACCTATTATATAAGATTTGTGTCCCTTTTTATTATGGACATACATCAGTTTCAAAAGGAAGTATACAATTTTGCTAGTCTAACTACTAATTCTATTAATATTCTATTATTCAAATTCAGACTGTATCTCTTGCATTTTAAACGTATAAAAAGGAGTACAATTTAAATTAATTCCCCTTAATTTTTAAAGACTATAAATGTATTAAAATAAAATTATCCATTGAAACAATCCTCTATTAATTTCCATTTTGGAATTTCCAAATCTTTGAAAGTTTGATGAACGTGACTTTTGTGATCAAACTGTATACCAGCTGATTATTTGCTGACTGAATGTCTAGAAACGAAAGAGCAATTCAGCATTTTTATCTACATTGTTTACTGTTTGAAGGACAGTGTCTAGACCAGTGGTTCTCAACCTTTTGACTAACGCGTACCATCTAAACGAAGACTGAAATACCACCACTAAATTTTACGAAGATTATTTTTCAATTTCTCAATAAAAACAGTAAAAATATATTTTGCCATTTGCATAAGATATTGGTTATTTGTATTAAACATGCACACATACAAATTATTACATTAAAAATGGTTACCATTTTAATTATCAAAATTTAAGTTATAATACTTGAATTCTCAAATTTAGTGTGAAATTCGTGCCTATCTAAGAGAGACCAATTTTTTTATGTCTGGTCTTATTCCACTTAGTTTTAAACGTAAATTAAGATCCACTTTTAATTGGGTTCTGTATTTATTTTTCAAATATAATATAGCAGAAAATCCTTGTTTACCCAAATAGGTTGTGCAAAAAGGCAATAAAAATTTAATAGCTTTATTTGAAATACCTTTTGAATTCGTTTTTTCGGCTTAGCCAAAAGTTAACAAGTGTGCTATTTTTAAAATCTGCAGTTAAAGTTCAAATACACAAAATATAGTAAATTTCTATTAATTATTCTTTTTTCCATGAGATACAATTTCAGGTACTTATGAGCAAAATGGATTTTTGGTCCAATTTTCTTTTGCTTAAACCTCGGGAAAATACATGTTGAAATTATTTATCAATGAAAAACAATGCTTTTTAATATCGAATACTAATTCTTTTATTTTCAAATTATTTTCGGTCAGAAAACTTTATAAAAGCTTAAAATTTTATTATCCAATTCTTTGATTATTAGCTCTAGTTTTTATCATTGCATTTACTATTTTATCTCTAATAGTAAACCAATGAACATTTTGTCCTTGTAATCCTAAAAACAATTCATTTGACTTTCCACAAATATCAGCTAAATACGCTAAATGCACCAACCATAATTCGCTAAATAAACATTTTTACAATTCAAATTTCAATCGAATCAAAGAGAAAAATTTGAGTTTCTGATCAAAGTGCGAAGAACGATTTAAAACCGGATTATAATTTACCCTTATTTCGGGAATGTAACACAGGCGTTTCATGTTCACTGCCAATCTCTTGGTATATAATCCTAAATATTCTTCAATTGAAGGCTCGGCTTTTAATAAAATTAACAATTTTCACAGCTTGATTCAAAACGATTTTCAGGTTCTCGGGGGTTGTTTTGGTTACTAATGCTTCTTGATGAATGGAGCAGTGGGTAAATTTAGTTTCAGGTGCGACTTTTTTTATTTTAGAAATAGCATCGGAATATTTTCCTGCTAAAGCCCGAGCACCGTCATTGCATACGACAGTGCAATTATGCCATTCTCAGACATAGAATTGTCAATTACTTTGAAAATTTCATTTGCAATTACTCTATCATGAAGAGCATCGCAAAATAAATTCTCTTCGACAATTCGTTTGTTTCCAAACGTACGTAACCTAATAGTAATTGAAGTTAGTTATATCAATACTTTCATTCAACTGCAATGCAAAATACTCATTGTGTTTTATTTTTTGAATAAGTGTCTCTTTTATGGAATTTACCAGTTCATGAATTTGTCGACTTACTGTATCATTTAATAAAGAAATATTATTAAGTTTATTGGTCGATTTTTCATTCAGTGATGTTAAAACGATACCTTTAGATGCTGGTAATATAAGGTTTTCTCCAATAGTGTGAACCTGCCAGTCTTGGCAATTCTTAGGCTTATTAAACTAGGTAACCAGCTTCCGAAACGTTTTCACTGGAAGTAAGAAAACTTTTCATTACTTGTTTACTATTTTTGAACTTCGATAATTTCCTCCAGAATATTCTTCCGATTAATCAATCCTTTAGCTGGCGTGCTTGGATTCTAGATGTCTTTTAAGAAAGAATGGTTTCATACTTTGATTGGGTAATACACTGACTACCAATAAGTATTTGGACACCTGTGATAGAAAAGAAAAACTAACTTTATTCAAAATCAATAGTTGGTAGAGCCTCCACGAGAGGTAATTACAGTGTGGACCCTCCGAGGCATACTTTCCACAAGTCGTTGTATGACAGCTAGTGGTATTTTCTTCCACTCGGCTTGGAGAAGACATAGAAGTTCCTTCACCGATTTTGCACTGTTAGTGCACCCCTGAATTCGGCGATGCAACTCGTCCCAGAGGTTCTCGATAAGGTTCAGGTCTGGACTCTGGGCAGGCCAGTCCATTCGATGAATTCCATTGGCACCATACCAAGTCTTGGTTTACGTCGAAAATGACAACTGGCATTGTCGTCCTGAAAGTAACAGGAGTCCAACCCGTAAAACTGCCACAACGTAGGAAGCACATTGTCATCCAAAATAGTGCAGTAGGCATCGGAGTTGAGCTTACCATGAATGGGGACCAAGGGTCCCAGTCCATACCAGGAGAAACACCCCCAGAGCATAATTCCACCTCCGCCGAATTTGACTGTTGGCACAATGCATTCTGGCAGGAGACGTTCTACAGGTAGATGCCAGACCCAGACCCTGCCATCCGAACGGTAAAGGGTGGACCTTGATACGTCACTCCAAAGAACCCGTTTCCACTGATCTACGGTCCAATTTCAATGTGCTTTGCACCATATTAACCGAGCAGCGCGGTTGGACTTTGTGATCAAAGGCTTATAGGCAGCAGCACGACCGTGAAAAACAAGCAGATGTACTTCCTTACGGATGGTATTCATTGAAACAATACTCCCGGATGCCTGTTGAAACTCCTCGCGGATGAGGGCCATCGGTTGGGTGCGGTTCTTCCGAATTTCTCTGGACAGCACTTGTCGGTCTCCATCACCCAGTTTCGTTGGTCTGCCGACTCGGAGCACATTCCGACAATCACCGCTCACCTTCCGCTTCTTAATCACACAGGCCACTGTCGATTTTCGGTACTTCAGATGGCTAGATAAGTCCCTTAAGGATCGGCCACATTTGTAATACCCGATAATTATACCTTTCTCGAAATCAGAGAGCTCCGAACTGCGAGGCATCTTGCATGCGACTAAAGCCGATGCTGTTTCCTACACGATATATACCGGCGGAGTTCGTGACGTACCTTAGGACCGCAGATATCGTCATTTGCATAGGTGTCCAAATACTTATTGGTAGTCAGTGTATAATGGCAATAATCTATAGAATATCATGGCGCAGCAGATAAGCAGCTTCATCAATGGCGGCTTGAGGCGAAATGAACAACAGGGCGAGGAAGTAATATTCGTGACAAGGGAGAGCGTCACCTAATTTTTAATCGATACTGGAGCCTCAATTTCCGTGATTCAACCATTACCGCCAAATATATTATATATTATATTACGAGTTCTTCAAAAACAAACGAGGATATTCTCAAATCGCGTAGAAAGGTAAGGAACACAAAGCAAGGAGAAGACCTTCTGTTAGAGACTGCAGATCCACGTAAAACATTATTCTAATTGAAAACACAAAAATATGAGCATGGAAATGGGGGCGATATAAAGTGTAGACATTCTAATAAATCAATCAACTCTAAAAGAATTAATGAGATACTATTATCTTTTTTAAAAACTTTTTCCTATTAAATACGACATCCGCTTCTACTACATTCTCTTTTAAGAACATCATTTATGACAAATTTTGTTATGTCTATGGCTAAAAGAATATTTGTGAAAGTTAAAACGGATTGTTTTGCTAAAGTTTCTGATCGACAATTGATCTTGAACAAAGCTCAGATCGCATAAATTTACGAGTGACAGCGAATGAAACTTAAAAGTATGTTGAAGTATTTAATTTTTGAATTTAATAGTTAAAAATACTTTGCTTCTTTGAGTACCACCCATTTTTCTCTTGCGTACCACAGGCTGAGAATCGCTGGTCTAGACGATACTCGACTTTCGTTTTAACAATTCATAGTTTTTTTTAAAAAAATTAAAGAAGAAATTTTGTATATCGGTTTAAATTTCAGAATAAGAAATAATATTATACACTCTGCCAATTTTCTTAAATTGTTCTTAAAATATTATGCTATTTTAATTTATATTCTTATTACGTTTCTCTTCTTATCCTTGTTATTTAAGTATATTACATCAATTTTATTGGTTTTTATTTTATTTTTAAAAATGTTTTGAATCAAAAATATATTATGAATACTGCTTGTGTTTCTTAAAATTCTCTCTCACTTTTTAAGATTAAAAAAATTAAAATCTCTTAAGCTTTTGCTGTTGCGCCCAAAACTGGCTATAGAATCTCTCATTAAGATTCATTCATGAAATAATCTTAAGTAGCGTTAATTGTTTTAAGTAACATTTTACAATAACTATAAAATAAAATTGTTTGTGTTGGTTCTTTTAATATAATCCTGCATTTTTAAGGTATTCACAGAAGTAAAATGACTTGCACATACGACAACTTCAGGTATATGAAACGAGTATAATAATTGTATTCTGCAAGGAAGGTAATCAAAAAGTATAAACCAGGGGTTCTCAACTGGTGGTGCGCATACCATAGGAAATTGCTATTTCTAGGAGAAATTTTAGCCTGGGGCTCCCGTTACAAGGTAAAAATCGTGAACTACTTCATCGGTGGCAACAGGGATGATCTGTTATGTGCTTAAACTATGAAACTATTTTCAGCACAAATTAAATAAAAAATATTTGTTTCGTCAAAATGTACGTTGAGAGAGACTAATGTTTAAAAGCAGCGGTTCTTAACCTTTTCACAAACGCGTACCATCTAAACAACTGAAAACCTTTAGTACCAACACTAGTAAGTACTACCACCACCACCACCACTCTTGAACAAAGCTCAGATCGCATAAATTTACGAGCGTTACAGAAAAAACTCAATCAGGATGTTGGGGTTTTAATTTTTGAATTTAGTTGTTAAAAATACTTTGCTTCTTTGAGTACCACCTATTTTTCTCTTGCATACCACCAGTGGTACGCGCACCACCGGTTAAGAACCCCATGGTTTAGACTTTTTGATTACTTTTCTTGCAGAATACAATTATTATATCCGTTTCATGTACCTGAAGTTGTCGTATGTTCAGGTCATTTTACTTCTATGAATGTCTTAAAAATGCAGTATTATATTAAAAGAACCAATACAATCAATTTATTTAATAGTTATTGTAAAATGTGACTTAAAACAATTAACCCTACTGAAGATTATTTCATGAATGGATCTTAATAAGAGATTCTATAGCCAGTTTTGGGTGCAACAGCAAAAGCTTAAGAGAGTTTAACTTTTTTTTATCTTAAAAAGTGAGAGAGAATTTTAAGAAACACAAGCACTATTCATAATATACTTTTGATTCAAAACTTTTCTAAAAAAATAAAAACCAATAAAATTGATATACTATACTTAAATTACAGGGATAGTAAGAAACGTAATAAGAGTATAAATTAAAATAGTATAATATTTTAAAAACAATTAAAGAAAATTGGCAGGGTGTATAATACCGTTTCTAATTGTGAAATTTAGACCGATATACAAAATTTCTTCTTTAATTTATCCAAAAACTATGAATCGTTAAAACGAAAGTCGAGTACCGTCTAGACCAGCGATTCTCAGCTGTGGTACACAAGAGAAAAATAGGTGGTATGCAAGGTAGCAAAGTATTTTTAACTACTAAATTCAAAAATTAAAACTCCAACATCCTGATTGAGTTTTTTCTGTAACACTCGGAAATTTATGGGATCTGAGCTTTGTTCAAACATGGTGGTGGTAGTACTTACTAGTGGTATTACTAGAGGTTTTATAGTTGTTTAGATGGTACGCGTTAGTGAAAAGGTTGAGAACCGCTGTCCTAAACGTTAGGCTCCCTCAACGGAAATTTTGACGAAACAAATATTTTTTTATTTAATGTGTGCTGAAAATAGTTTCAGAGTTCAAGCACATACAGACCATCACCTCTTGCCACCGATGAAGTAGTTCATATTTTTTACCTTGTAATGGGAGCCCCAGGCTAATATTTCTCCAGGAAATATGAATTTCCTGCCTATCACTTCTTCTTATTTTATAGATGATCCTATTTTCACCCACTGATTTATAAAATGTTTTACAGCTACATTCATCGAGTGATCTAACTTCAAATCGTGAAACACATTCATGAATGTTAGAATTAAGATAGAAAAGCTAAAAAGTGAAGCAAATGTATGTACGTAAGACATTCAAATGGTAAAAAATTTTGAGAGCCTATTTAAAACCACAGACATGCTGTAAGGGCTTGAATTCTGTAAAAGCTATTCCATTGTAATCTTATCCCACTCACATAACAGCTGTCGAACATGTCGAACTGGTCGACATTCTACTTATTGTCAACGGAAAAGACTGAGAGAATTCTTGTTTTATCAGATTTTGGTTTATCACTGAGGTAGATTGCTACGCATTTAGGCTGAAATGTCAGACTCTTCAGTTTGTGTACCGCAGTAGTTGCAAGAACAACAACGAACTCGAATGGCATCAAGAGACGACCAAAGATGAAATCGTGTTCAAATGGATCATGGTATTTGAATAATGATGCTTAGTAATCATTAGGGTAATGTAAGTGAATTTAGACATCATGTACTAAAATTTGGAGGTTTAGCAATATATATACAAACTATCAGAAGACGTTGCACAATGCTGGGCCACAAGCCAGGTGACCAGCAATAAATCTTCAATTAACCTCAAGTCATCGCTGAGGCTATCATACTATACACCCAGGGCAGTGGTAGTTAGAATGGACGGTTGTTCTCTCTAGCAATGAGTCTCGCCTTTCTCTTAGTAGTAGTGATGGCTGAAAATTGGTCTAGAGACTACATGGCAAAGCTTTCAGAAGGCAACCTCATATCGGCCCTGGTTGTGGAGGCGTAATATACAGCAGGCAGGTCTCGGTTGGAACACTGTCAGCTAAATGCCATGTTGATTTGGTCGTAACTCCGGTATGGTCCTTCCTACAAGTTGTCAGAAGAACTGTTTTTCAACATGACAATGCTAAATCCCATTTTGACCTTTCTGCTGCGAATAATCTAGTTAGACTTATGTGCTACTGATCTGCTTCATCCCTACTTATCTTGATGAATTTTGCTACGCCAGGTTTCAGATATAACAGATATGTGTAGTTTGCAGAAGGGAATTTTAGAATAAAAGAAAAATGTTATATTAGTATTAAAAGAGTATTGGAAATATTGAGTTAAATATGTCATTCATCCTAAGCACATGGCAATAAAATTATGCTACACAAATTCTACTTTTATCCAAAAAGTATTAGTCAACAGCAGGCAGGGTTTTTTTTTTTTTTTTTTTTTTTTTAAATTTTTTCCAGATATTAAGTGTACGTTTAGTAATTTAGGTTAAGTGAATTGTTAAAACAGATTATTTTACAGTGTTTGTATTTCAACATTTATTTTGAAAGCAACATCAATCGCATAATAATTCCTTTATTCTTTTAGTATTTATATTGATCAAGTTTTATTAGTGATTTCTAAATTTGGTAGCTCAAACTAATACAAAAGTTAACTAAAAAGCTTAGGGAAGTAGTCCCTTATAAACCATCATTTAATGATTTTAATGGAAAAAGTAGACATTTAAAACTAATAACTGAATAAAATGAAAATTAGTACCTGATCGTCCCATGCATTTATGAGGGGCATGTTTATGTCATCAATAATAATAGTCAGTTTTTTACCAGCTGCAGGGCCATATATATTTCCTGCACGCTTCTCGATGTAACTTTCTATCGTTTTCTGTAGGTAAGAATAACAAAATATGATTATTGTTACATAACAATGAAAGCTGACATGAAATTACATTTTACAGCAGTTCTTCTGTGACAACTTTCGTTTAACATTTATGAACTGAAATAAAATTTTAGAGTGCAATCATTTTATAGTTAGAGAGTTTTCTTGTTACTGAGAAGAAATATTTTTTGTGAAAAAGTTTAAAGAGTCCTCAATTATCTTCCAATGAGTAAGAGTTCTATCTAAAATAATATTAAAAGTTTAATTATTAGATTATTTTATTGGAGGTGTTAAGGCAGAAAGAATCAGCTCAATATTCGTAAATTTCTACAATTAGATTTGAAGTTTTAAATGTAGAACCTTTTCCTTCAGCTTTCGTACCAGCTGCAGAAGTACTTGCAACTGGTAAGAAAAAGAAGGCTTCTAACTTTAAAAGGATGCTGCAAAAAATAGGTTTTTAACTTCAATAATAACTTACGTATTTATTACTATGAAGATTTGTGAATGTTATTCAACATATTTTGTCATACCATTACAAAGGGGATTGAACTGAAGCTCATTTTCGTATTAAAATTTTGTTACGTTGTCATTTAATGTAAACTGAAATTTTCTTTATAAAATTTCTTGGTAATGATACTTTATAATAAAGTTTTTTGAGAACTAATGTATTATTTAGAAATTTTATTTTTTTATTTAACACCTTGAAGGAAAATTTTCCTGGTATTTATTGCTTTGAATGGACGAACTTAGTTTCCAGACAAAATTAAAAAATATTCTCTTAATCCAAATAGTACATCGCGAAGGTTTGAATAATAAGGACTTCTCACCATTAAATAAGATCAGAAGTTTTTACACGTAACCTCTTAAAATTTAAGATGAAGTAACAGAGTAAGTTTCCTTTACTGCCGGTTATCAATGTTTTTTTAAAGCCCATTTTAAATGTATAATTTTATGTTCCATATCTTTAGTTCCTCTGGGATTAATTTGTCAATTAAGAAAATTAGTAAAATATATGCAGGTAACTTTAAGAGAATATAAAGTGTCCAGAAACAATAAGATGAGCATTTTTAATTTATCACAGAGAAGATGCATTTCAAAGAATTTCAGTTCAGTATAATATATACCTGAAAATGGAAAGGAGTTGTTGCAGAAGAGAAGTTTAAACTCTTTGTTATATGTGTCTCCGGATTCAACTTAGAGGTGTAGGCTTTCAGCATCATCGTTTTGCCTGTTCCCGGCTCTCCCAATAATAATACAGGCTACAAAATGAAGGAAAGATAAACATATTATTATATGTCCTTTGGCTGCCCTTACACTAATAGCACCAAATGGTTCATTTTTGTAAAAAAAAGTGAAGAAAGAAAATAATTCAGAGTTGTAATACTCAAGGTGTTCAAAGAAGAAAATTAAAAGGGTTTCTTCATCTGCCTCTTTCATATTCATCTCAGAAATGTATTCCTATTTAAAGAGTTTCTCTTAATAACGTTGGTAATCTTATTTAAACAGTTTGAGTACTGTAGGTAAGAATATTATGAAAATATAAGTAGAACGTTTCGTGTAGTATTTTCATGTTCTCTTAGAGTAAATGTAGATAGAAATGATAATAATCTCTGGTTTGTTGAGTTTATTTGATCATTTTCAGTTAACAGCATCTCACAGAGTGCAAGCAATCTTCGTCTTGCATGACCCACTGAGTGTGCCTGTTTTAAATGTGTTTACACTTAATGGGCGCCGTCAATTCTTCTTCGGTACAGAGCCAGTGGCTTCCAATTGCTAACACAGTCTACGAATGGTCTGTTAGCAAGGAGCCCATCTTGAACCAAAGTGTGCAAGAAAATGCTTTTGTGTCACTACCATACTACTCATTTCTTAAAAAAAAAAAAAAAAAAAAGTTACAGCTTTCATTTGTAAGATTTTGAATAAACAAAATTACCTGAATACACGTTGTAAAGTTCAATATATAATATTAAAATTTTATGGGATAACAGAATCGACTGTCATTTCATGCGCCATCCCGTAAGATTTTAAATAATTTCATGCCACTTACATCCCCCTGTTTTGCGACAGTGTTGATCAGGAAATCTGTCCGAACATTGTCGATGTTTGGTACCAATACAGAAATATACTCCACTCCATTAGAAGGGTCAAACTGATAATCTGGTACGAGAACTTTCCAGTGTCTCCAGTTACCTAGTTTGGGAATCAAAAAGGTATTTATTAAAACAGTCGCTTATATTGCCGAAAAAGTATCAAGAAAATTGAGCCTGAAAGATCACTAACCTCCATATATGAAAAACACTACTGTTATCAAAAAAATATTATCACATTTGTGATTTCATATCCTATTCAATCGCGCTACTAAACCCAATGTAATTGAATAGTGTGCTATTTAAATCAGCTAGATTCAAATAAATTTAACTTTTTAAATGTGCTTTTAATTCAGATTAAGAAAGCAACTTCGAATTTTCTCCGTGTTTTTTCGCTTATTGTTTAACAACGCACGTTTTTTGAATGAAGAAAGCATCGAGCGAGAATCAATAATTTCTTATTAATTTATCCATAAAGTTAGCTTATATCTTTTCTGTTATAATTAGAAGACTTACAATTTTATTTAAAATCGAAGAAAGCCCTATGTTACTTTTCTTCATAATTTTGAAATTAAAAATCAATACCTTTTGTTTAATGCAAAGAATTTAAAACTCTGTATGAAACTTTATACATTCTCGGTAACTATCTTTTACGATAATGATTCCATAGTTATATTTATAAATATTAAGAACCCAAACTATGAATCGAAAATTAATGCAGGACTTTGTTAGTTAAGCATGGCTTTAAATACACTGCTCAAAATGCTTAGGAATTTTATGATTCTCAATATAATTCGTGAATGAGGAAAAGTTTTATTTGTTAATATATGATCCATGGGTATTATTGTAATCTATGAGAAAAGAAAATTACGCGCAAAACAAGAAATAGTTATATTTTAAAACGTGTTTTATCGATAAACTATAAGGTATTTCTCCCGCCTTCTTGGCATGCCTTCGAGGTGTGGTGGTCTGCACGCTGGGAGCGTATTCTAGAGGTCCGTGTTTCAATTCCCGGCGAAGGCGTTATTCATATTTCATCTTGCCTGCTTCCAAAAAATAATTAATGTTTCTACAGTGGCGCTCGAACTAAAAGAGTGGTGGATGATGATTTTTCCCACACGGGATTTGGCAGTTGGGTCCCTTAAAACTCCAGTCGCCCTTTAAAAAGAGAGTATATAAAGTATTTCTCCCGTCTTCTTGGCATGCCTTCATGGTGTGGTGGTCTGCACGCTGGGCGCGTATTCCAGAGGTCCGCGGTTCGATTCCCGGCGAAAGCGTTTGCTAATTTTTCATCTTTCTTGCTTCGAATTAACCTAATGTCTCTACGAAACAAAAACGAATATTTTGTACATTTCATAAAAATTAATAATAAATGCTTCTAAGATAAAACGGACTTTTAGAAAAGTATATAGTTTTCCAGGCATAATACAGTTTTGCACACTTGTGAATGTTAGCTAGCCTAGTTTCCAGATAGTGAACTGGAGTTTACTGAACATTAGCCCTTCATCATAGAATATAACCAAATATGTTGCATAGGATCACGTATCGGAAACTGTTGGCCGATCTATTTGAATGATTCCTCCTTGAAAAGAAAGTTGCCCATTAGCTGAGCACGATGTAACCTGATATTACATTTTACGACCGCAAATTCATTCGAGATGGCTGACGCGTAAAGGACCTCGAAATATCTGATCTCATTTACATATAGTAGAGATGTCAGTGATCCCTGTCTACTGACGCACAGTATTTTAACTGCTCCGGGATGAACCATGGTTTTTAGTTAACTATCCGTGGACATCATCCTCCCTTTCACCGGTATTCCCGTTGTTAATCGCGAAGTTAGCTATATAAGAATATTTTAAGAAATTTTTGAGTAGTAATACAGAATAAATGTAAAGGTGATCAGTCATCGTTACGAGATAATCTATAATTTGGAAAATAATAATACTATTCTAATCTAAAGAATAAAGATATATTTTAAAATAAACCTTGATTGTCAATATTGAAATCGAATATAGAATCCGATGGATCCTCCATCAAAGGAAGCTCTAGACCGTAATCTCTGTTATTATACAGGTGTTGCTCAAATTTTATACGATCAGGAATTTCTAAGAAAGCTCCAATACTCCACATCAAGCTGAACACGTAATTCCTTTGCAGGATGTTGGCCAGGAGGTTGAGATCTTTCTCTTCTTTTGGTAATAAACCGTTTAACAATTTGATCATCTAAAAAATCGTAAAAATTTATAACTATTTGTATAGAATAGCTGATCTAAAAAATCGAATTGTAAATAATGCTGAAAAAATTATACATGTAATTTAATAGCGATGTCTTGAATCAATATCCAACTACGTAACAAAAAGAATCAAATTTCAAGCAAATCTGACTTCAGCGGAAGGTGTTGGACTAATTGTTTTAATTGCCAAGTCTTAACTACAGAAAATGTTCATTAATAATTTTGAACGATTCTTATTAAGCAAGTTATTGAATAATAAGAAAATTAATTGACATCAACTTTTGCCCAAAAGACTAAGTTACTGCCAGCGGCAGGCAAAATTTATATAAGTTCAAAAAGGGTCAATAAGTAAATTTTGAATAGATAAATTATTTTATTTTCCGGAAGAAAGGTAATCTCTTTAGTTGAGAGAAAACCGAAATAGGAATTTTGAAATCTAGGTACTTAAAGTTGTACAATTATTAGTTCGGTTCCTAACATAGCGAAAACTTCAACAGTCATTGCTTTCTACAAAAAGTGAAAAGCCAAATGTTTAGCAAAAATGGTTTATTTTATCACACGTAATAGAAAAATTAAATTTCATAACCCTGGGAAAGCACTCATCTATTGAATGGGCAATAGCATCAATATTTAAAATGGGTTTTTACTGTGGTTAAAATAATAGAAGACGAAAGTTTTAAAAAGCAGAAAACTTCAATGATTTTTGTCTTTGTCTGATACATTTTGCAGAGCGTAAGACCAAATATAATTTATTACAAAAATCGTGAAAAGCGGAAATTTGTTTTGATTATAAATCATGAGCAGCCATATTTGAAAGACTTTAATAGAAAGCGATCAATTTACTATCGTAAAAGAGAAAATTTTAAAACTTTATTTCAAGAATCGAATGAAAGCTGCAGTAAAAAAATTTAAAACTTTGTTTCAAGAATCTAATGAAAGTTGCAGTAAAAAATTTATGACCGTAGCTAGTTTTCTATGCAGCAAGAATTGAAGGAAATGTTTTTAAACAACCTGTGCATATTATTATAACAATACTTCATTTTCCATCCCACATATTTGGAAACATGCTCAAGTAATTCTTAATTCTTATTCCTATAGGAAATGAGGGTTATTCATAACCCTCATTTCTAATCCGATATATTAGTCTAAGATATTAATGTTTTTTAGCAGTTTTATGGAAACAATTATTAAAGCTGACGATCTGAGGTTATTAATCTTCAAATCAAGCTACGTCAGCAATATATGGCGAAAGTTATATAGGCAAAAATAACGTCTACCTCAGGCAAATATTTTAAAGTAAAATATTATTGATAGTACAGTAAATACAGTATTAGATTGAGCTTTATAAGATATACATAATGAGATGTCTTCTTAGTAACAAGTTGGTTTAAAAAAGCTTCTATGTTAAATCAGCTTCCTCTGTTAAAGGGTAGGGTTCCAATCACTTATGTGACTCAACCTTAGTCCCTAGTGAAATTGTCAGACGACTTATCTACATATTGGAGTTACTTCAACATAGAAGAAGGTTTAAACCACTTTCAAAGGATATGCCATGAAACTAGTGGACTGCGCCGCAAGAAAAGTATTAGAAAATTGCGAACACATAAAAACCATGCTTGTGTATTAAAAGTTTTAGTCAATAGTTTAGACAGGAAAGGTTAATCCTTCCTGCTTTTGTCTTAAGGAAACGTTATAGTAGGAAACTAAGAGAGAACCTATTGATTTTCTTTGTCCCTTTTGAAGTAGAGAACTCTCACCGACTGAGAAAAACAAGGAAATATAATAGTAGTAGCGATAGATGAACATATGGCAAGATTAGCGTCAAGATAGTATTTGTCAATCAACAATACGACCCATTTCAATTCATTTTATTGCTGTATATATTTTAATTAAAAAAACTTACTTAAACTGTTGGTTGAAATTTGTATAGTTGTTCGAAATATACGTATATCATTAAGTTATAGAAATATTATTTTGCTGAGGATAAAAACATCATACAAAGCTATGTACGGAACGAGGCTCATTCGTGCGACGTACAATTTGTCAAAACAGTTGTATGCGTAAGACTATATCGTTTGTCTGGTAACCCTGGGTGACTGTTCATTGGTTTATATATGCTCCGCTAAGGGTAAGAAATGATCGACTTTCCATGGTTCGTGTAAGCATCCGCTAGGGAGCTAGGAGCATACCGCGACGTTATTAGCAGTAAAATAGTGTGCCGCGAACCTAAAAGATTTGAGACTGCCTGGTTTAAACAAACCCTTTTATTAAAATCTTTTAAGAAAACACGTTGCTTTTTCTTACAGAGGAATCTCCGAGACTTGCAGGATTTAGATTAAATAAAACGTAAATTAAAATTTAAAGTAATTTAAAGCTAGAGATTCACAAAGTGTATCCGGCGATGGCTTAAACTAGTCTAATTGCACAAGTATACTTGGCTAGAAAAAGGCTAACGCCAATCTAAGGTAACTCACAGAGTTGGATGAGGAAATATTACAACTGTCAGTGTCGCTGCCAAATGTCTCTCACTAACTTTTGAGAACTCTTTTTACATACACGTATCTAATTTGTGTCCCAGTGAGAAAAGAACGAAAATATAAGCTATGGTACGGCTAAAATTACAAGATAATGCGTTAATTAACATAAACCTCGCAAAATACCATATATTGCAATGTTGAACTGTAAATCTAACTGCAATAACATTGCAATTACTAAATGAATAGTTTAAATAAAATCGCAGATCAGTCCTCCCTGCTTTTTCTCCCCCCCCAAAAAAAAACTTGTTGGAGTAGAGATTAAGCATAACAAACTGATGATCAGTTACAGATACTCAGAGCAGCACAGAAAACGTGCATTGCCCTTGGACTGGGTAAAATGAGAAACCTGCTTTTCGAAGGAATATACCTCATTTTTATCTACCAACACCATACCTAGGCTCATTAATAACATCGTTTGTAATATGTAGGGGAATCTGGATTTTCTAGAACATTATCTTCTCTAATGCATTCTGCCATTTGTAAAGGCTTCAGTCACATGCAGTTGTTTTTCATGATTCGGTTTAAGATTATTATACATTTCTGGGCATTCAAAATGTATCAGATTTTCAAGATAAAGAATGACAAGATATATCAAAGCCAAATTTATTTCACAGATTGAACATATTATCAGTGTTAGTTGATTTGAAATACAGTCTTCTTTGAGGTGAGGAAGAGAAAGTCACTAAAGAGTGTTGCATTCCCGTTTGTCAATAATCGCTGCTACACGCAACGGTACTGAGTGAAACAGGATTTGGGTGTATTGCTGGGGATTGGGAGGCGATGCTGTCTCCACATGTAGCGAGAGTTCATGTGGTGTACCCCCGCGACTACGGCATGCCAGGCTAGGCGATCTTCAATCATTGACCAGACATGATCGATGGGCGATAGATATGGAGAATGGGCAGGTTAGATATGGAGAATAATGCAATACGGTGATCTAAGAAGAAAGCTTAAACAGTGGCCGCGTATTGCCCTGTTGAAATGTGGCGCAAGCAAACCCTGAATGTAAGGAAGGAGAATAGGCTGAAAAACTTCACAGATTTGGCGTCGGTTGGTAAGCGTACTAGGGGATGCGGAAGTGGAATCCAATACGACTCCACGCCATAACATTGGGTGCAGGACCAGTATAAAGATGCGTAACGCAACAGTCGAGCAGCCTTTCTCCATTGTGTCTCCAAACTCAAAGTCGACCATCGTAGTACTGCAGGTAGAAGCACGAGTCGTTCGAAAACATAATGTCATGCCATTCGAATTTCCATATCTGCCGTTTGGTACACCATTGCAAGCGCATATGCCTACGGTTTAAAGGTAAGAATGCAAGAAAAGCAATAGACGTCTAGCGGACAGTCCATTATACTGTAAACGACGTCAAATTGTTCGTGCAGACACCATTTGTTGTGTTACAGGTTGTATTCTTTGTCATATGGTAATACTCCGTTGATGAATTAGATTTTCTGTAGGCATTTCACATTCAAAAAAAAATTTTTCTCTTCTAGTTAAAGACCCTAATTCCAATCCATATTTGCCTTCAGCCTTTAAAGAAATTATGTTTTAGTTATCGTTTCATCAACAGATGGCGCCAGTAGCTTAACCGCTGTCCAGTTTTTCTTATCTATCTCGTTCATTTTCGCTTTTGCAGCTGACGATGATAACCATCGAAATTAGTTCTGGGAAAATTTGAAAATATAACTCTGATTTCTGTTGTTTGACTTCTAAATTAATACTTGTTCTGCGTGTTATTGTATCTTAATTATAGCCATAATTTTATACTTTCTTAATTTTTTTAAACATTTAATGGTAAACTCTTCGAAATGTTAGACTAATCTCCAGGTTTTCAGACTGCATATTTTTTATTATACTACTATTCAGTGGTTATTATTAATATTACCTTCTAATGATTAAATATGATTTAAATCTGCTTAAATCTAAATGTACTCGATCACGGAAAAGCAATTTCTGTATCTTTTCCATTAAATTGAAAGTAGCATTACAAATGAAAAACCATACGTCAGCATGTAATTTCATAATTGAGAATAAAACAAAAATTTATAATCGAAAATTATATGTAGAATATAGAATCAACTACTAGGTAAATGAAAGAATATCAGATTTTGAAAAAATTAAATGGTTTAACGTATCAAATATTTTTCAATAATTCTTAAAAATCCAGCTTTTGATGCAGACGTAAAGCAAGTTACGCTTTGTCTGAGAACAATGAGAAAGTCTTAAGGTAATAATAATCTTTTTAAATAAATAAAACAGTCAAATTTAAATTAAACACAATTAAATACTAGAAGCTGTCTGAAAAACTGTACCGGTGCTTCAAACTTAAACTGTCGACAGTAAGAGACCGCAAAGCTGAGTAATTGAAACTGTTAGACCTGGCAGGAACTAACTATGCAGCGCGCACGCGATGCCAGAAATACTCACTACGAAAAAGCTTAATAACATAAGATACCCTGCAGCTTTTGCAATTTAAAGGGCCAGATGATCTGTTTACATTTAAATTTGAGCAATTCCTCATGTTAAATTCCCTGAAATATACATAAACTACATTTGTAGACAATATTATGCAAATATGTAGTTACACATACTAGAAAATATAGCTTATTACTATATCTAAATACATATATTTATTAATTTTAAGAAACTAACTGTGCTTGCTAGTTTCCAAGGAAATTTCGTTTTCAGTTATGATTTCATGAAAATGTGATGGCCCTGCTTGCATGCATGATTGCTCTGACCTGGTTGGATGGAAATTTAAGAAATTTTACAGGATTCTACAACACTATATCTGTATGACATGACCAATTGTTGTATTTCTCACATCGGAACTCTTAGAACTATAATGACATTTGAAATAGCATGAAAATTTTATGCAAGAAGTTTGCATAACTTTATGTGAGTATAAAATGACAAAATATTATCTATATTTATGTTTTTTGCATAAAATTTCAGAAATAAAATTTAATTTTATGGTAAAAAAACAGTCGATTTTGCCTTCCAGAATTAAAAATATAATTTTTTAAGAAAATATTCGATTATTTTAATTTTCGCATTATTTTTCTAAACTAAAGAGTATATTATATTTTTTTAATTTAACGTAAATAAATTCTTTAAATGTATATTGAAGTTTCTTAACATTATAGTGCACGAGTTAATTTCTAAATTTACATAAATATCGTGAAGTACAAAACAAAATTCGGCAATAGAGTTTACATGTCTAAAATGAAATTTTCAAGCATCCGCATGTTAACGTTACCTGAGTTATAATCATGCACTGCAAAATCTTCATACGGAAAACTAAATTTTCAACAGACCAGGTGAAAATGGACTCAAATGAACGATCAAATAACTGATTCATAGCTCTCGATATCAGTTTCGGCTGTTCATTTAGCCACGCCTAAAATTAGAAATAAATACTTAAAATAATTATTTCATAAAATAAATCACCAGCATATCAAACAAATTAGTTATGTAGAACACTTTTCTTCTGACGCTAATATTTTTAGTTCTGCAACTTTTAGGATACAATTGTTCCAAAAAAAATGCAATGGTGTATTTTCATTAAAGGAATCGCATATCTATGGTTTTTAACAAGTAAAATTTTGCACCGAAATTCATTACAATAACGTATCTTTCAAGTAAATAAGTCTATATGTCATTATTCTGCGATAATTAATGAGGTAAAATTTGATTTCAGTAATGAGATAAAATTTCATTCTTGTTTTCCCTTTTATCTTCAGCAAGCTAAAAAATATTCAAAATGCAAAATAAAGAATGTTCTCGAATATTAAACATTAATTAAATTAAAATATCTACAAGTCGAAATTAAAATATCTACAAGTCTAAAATTTCAGTCGTTCAGCTGAAATATTAAGTGTCAAATTTATTGTCAAATTTATTGTGGGTTAATTTTTTTGAATATAAACATACAGCATTTTGGCGAATCTACAAACATAAATTTACAGAAAATTAAAATTGTCAATTACCGCAATCTCGAATTCGAGATGTTTAATTAATTAAATAGAATGTAAGTGTTTTAGTGCAGAATTTTAAAAGGGAAAACTGGAGAACTAAAATGTGGTGTCGAATTTTGTGCTAAACACACATGAAAACAAACTGTACGATGCCAGGATTTTTTATATTATTTAATGTGCATATTTAATTAGCGGTTATGCTTCCCTGAACATTTTCTTTCACGATACTTAAAAATTACTAAATTAATAGTTAATGATTTCTTGAGATTCGAGATCCTCTTTCGTAAATTCTCGAGAATATCGACAGATTAAGAGCATTATTTTTAATACCTCTTTTACTATGGAAAGAAGGAAAACGAGACAGGAAAATATCTTGTAAAATAAAAACTGAAAATGTTCCGGGTTTTATATTTATTTTATACATTTTTCTTTAAAATAAGCAAAGCGAAACACTACAGCAAAATAAATATTTGATATGTAAGATATAAGTAAATTAGCTGTTTATTTTTAATTAGTTTTAGTTTCTTACTCTGAATTATTGCTTTATACATATGTTGTTTAATATAATTTTAATAAGGAAAATAATACTATTTTATAAAAGTGACTAATTTTTTGCTACGTTTTTGATTGTGACTTGAAAACTTATCATGGATGCTGAAAATAGTTTTATTAAAGAATAGAAGCAGTGAAAACCCTTGTACACTTTTTGTGTTGAAAGCAATCTATTAGATATTAAAATGTTGTTTTATTAGGTAGCGTATATTAAGTGCAATTAAGGAAATGAAGGTATATATACCATGAATATGGCACCAAAAGACGTACATAATGTATTTCCAAGTCATAAGTATTCTATTCTTTTTATATAACGTTCTCCTAAATCCGATGCCCGTGCGTTACCGTCAGCGTCAAAACCGAACGCTCGATGTGATAAAAACCCGTTGCAACATAAATACCATAATATCGATAAATATATGGAAGGGTTTTAAGATCTTCTTTGATTTTAGATTTATTGTGGGTAAACTATTATAACTAGACATATGTTTTTTTTTCGAAATAGTAACTATAATAATGGAGTTCTCTTTGAACAATTCTGCATTACCAAGTTTGAATATATGCTAGGTCTCTTTTTGTGGCTTGGAGAATGTCAAATCAGTATTTCGGTTCTCGCCTCGTCTTTTGAAATCTTTGCTTTGCAAGACTTGACAAATCATACCATCTGTTATTCTGGCTTTCAAAGTACCAATATGATGATGTGGTGGGGCAATGACTTGGTCTTTGGTATCCTCTTTGTCTGACTCACGAACGCTGTCAACAATTTCATAGGCCTGCCACTTCCTGGAATGTCACTAAGTTACCAATTTCTTTAAATTTTTCGTACCAGTTCATGCTCTTATTATCTAACATATTGCATAAATGAAAGCATCTAAGTTACCACTGAACCATTTGGCTTCATGATATAGTTCGACCGCCTCATTTGCAACCATGAGCGCAAACACGCAAGCGCCATTCGGACCGAATTATTCTCAAAATAGGGTGGAAGCTTTCCCTCCAGCATAGCTCTTTCCGGAGAAGAGAAGATCTTTCACGTCGCAGCAAGTAATAACGCCCCTTTTGGACGAGTCTATGTGTTTTGGCAGAATGCCAACCAGGGTTGAGCTTGAGACGGTCGAACTATACCACAAAACACCCTTGGCATTTTAGTTTTTTCTTTCATCGACACATCATTTTTTTTACAAACTATCCTTTGCTTACAACCATTGGGGAATATCTATTGGAGTTTAAAAAAATTAGCAGTTGTTCCAAATAATGATTAAACATTTTACATTTCTATTTTCCGTGGTTATTTCGTGTAAAATTTTTGTACTGGAGGTATGCTCAGACTATATAATCCGAAAATTGTTGTGTCGAAGTGTCTATATCTTGAAAGAGACGAGAATTTTATACAAGGCTTTAAATGGTTTAGATGCAGTTTTAATATAACGAAGTAAAGAAACAATTTTGCCAATCTAAAATGGAATACTATTCAAAATATTTATCTTTCCATAGCGTGCTTTCCTTAATTTTATCATCTTATTTCAATATTAAATTTTATGACACAGGATTTTAACGTAATTTCTTATTTTCCATGTAGTATTAATATAACGTAATTAATAAGTTTAATTATTTCTCTGAACTTAGTTACTCATTATTAATTGTTTTATTTAATGTTGTTAATTAATTAATTGATTTTTTATCGTTCTTTACGTTCTTCCATAGTGCTTCGGCCTTTCTAATACTAGAAATTTAACCCCGATTATTACAAGTACATGGCGTTCGATAACACCTTGCAATAAAACTCCAGTTTTTTAAGGCACCTGATTAGACGAATCAAAAATATTGAATTTTCAGTTTCTGAGAGAAATAAAGGCCAAAATAGATTCAGTACTTAAGCTCGTAGAGATAACAATATTTTGAAAAAAACGCAAACATCTAGGACCGACATTAAGGTTTTTTTTTTTGTGTGTGTGTGTGTTTGTTTGTTTGTTGTTGTTTTTTTAACTACGTAGTTTTTCCTCCACGTATAAAGTCTATAACAAATGAAATAGTTGACCTCTGTCCTAGTAATTAAGACTGCAGAACAACGACCGATGCTGAAATCTTAGCGACTGAGCAGGGTACATGGGGGTCCTTTGTCTCCATAATAGGAGTTTTCCTTAGAAACTCAGTCACGGAAGCATCCTTAGATAAAAAAATAATTTAAAGTTCTTATATAAAAAAATTGTGTGTTTTGTCCTATTCCGAGAAAGACAAAAATAACTCGAACAAAATTAAGAAGAAATTCATAAATAAAATATTCAAAAAAATTCTTATTACAGTTTATGAAGTATAAAAATTTAATCATGCCAAAAATTATTTATATCTGTTGCTATTATTCAGATTATAAAAAACTTACCGTTAAAATGGGCTTCCATGGCAAACAGGAAGAACTCATGTATACCATACCATTCCTAGAGACTGTAGCATGTGACGCATTTTCTAAGTTATGGACTTCAAACATCACCTTACAGTTTGGTGACATAGGAATACGATCACCGTTAGCAAGAGTCAAAGTTTTGTTGTCATCAAGAACAGAATTTAAATTTTCAATCCAAATGGCATCTACAGGGCCGTCTAAGACTAACCATACGAACTCGCCTGAAAGAATTTTTTTATTATGATTTGTAGTTTTATATAAAAAATATTTTTCTGATAAGTTCTGAAACAATATCATTTATCTGCGAAAAATATCATTTTTAAAAGTTTATTTCTTATTTAATTATGATGCTAAATTATAACTACAAAAGCAAAAGTCACAGCTTAATGAGATACTGGTTAACATTACTATTCGGATATTATTTTCAAGTTCTCCAAAACCTATTTATATGCAAAAATATAATAAATTCATTATTTGTTATATCAGATTGTTATAAAATGAATTTTTCAACACAAAATGAAAATTTCAAAGTATGAAACGAAATCTTCATATTTTCATTTTCAAGTAGATAACTTATAAAGTATTTCTCCCGCCGTCATAGCATGCCTTCGTGGTGTAGTGGTCAGCACGATCAGCGCGTATTTGAGAGGTTCGTGGTTCGAGTCCTGGCGAAGGCGTTGCTCATTTTTCATCTCTCCTACTTTCATAAAATATCTAATGTCTCTACAGTGGCTTCCTAACTAAAGAACGTGGTGTATGATGATTTTCCACCAGGATTTGTCGATTATGTCCGCTAATCCCTGGTTGCCCTTTAAAAGGGGGAGTATATAAGGTATTTCTCCCACCTTCTTAGCATGCCTTCGTGGTATAGTGGTCAGCGTGTTCGGCGCGTACTCGAGAGGTCCGTGGTTCGAGTCACTGCGAAGGCGTTGCTCATTTTTCATCTCTTCTGCTTTGAAAAAATACCCAATGTCTCTAAAATCTTACTGAAAGCGTCTTTTTAACTGTTGAGAAAAGTTATCAGTACAAATGCAGTCAAAATATTAGTTAAGCATTATATCCTTTTTTAAATAATATTTTTATATAATAAATATTATTAAAGTTGGCAAAATATTTAATGACAGAATTTTGAAAATATCCAAAAGAAGTTAATTTTTTGCAGTCTATAGTCCAGAATTCTACATCGTATAATAAAAATAATTTCATTCAGTAATACAGAGTTTGTTAATTTTTTTCTCAACATAGTATCAATTTTAGGCATATTGCAAATCCAAAACTTTTTTACGTTTCTGAGAATCAAAAGAGCTCGCTAATGGTATTTTCAAGACTGTCTGTAATTAAAATATTATGTATTAACATCACAAAATTGTCTGGCTTGTCCAGTAACAATGTTTAGAAATCATTTATACCAGGGTTACGAAAGAGGTGGTACCCGTGGTACGTAAGAGAAAAATAGGTGGTACGCAAATAAGCAAAGTATTTTTAACTATTAAATTCAATAATTAAAATCCTAACATCCGAATTGAGGTTTTTCTCTAACACTCGTAAATTTATGCGATCTCAGCTTTGTTCAAGAGTGGTGGTGGTAGTAGTACTTTGTAGTGGTGGTACTAATGGTTTTCATTTTTTGTTTAGAAGGTTTGTGCTAGTCGAAAGGTTGAGAATTGCTGATTTATACTAGTGATAAGTTTTTTCTCTTGTAGCAAAGTACGCGGTTCCAAATACAAGTATATTTCTTTACTGACCTTTCTTCGTTTTTAGAGTTTTCCTCCAAAGAGCAGAAAATATTCCATCTGTCCAGTCATCTGTGGCAACATCAAGTCGTCCAAACATCTGTGGAGCAGTGATAGCTTTAGGATTCATTCTCATCTCTTTATGAGGCATTCCCAAGGAACTAAGAGCCCCCATTAAACCTCTTATGCAGCTTGTTTTACCAGCTCCAGCAGGCCCAAGTGTCATAATGCCATGTCGAACAAGCTGAGTCTCATGTAACTATGAAAACAAAATAATTGTATGTAAAATCGTCACTATAACCGCATTTAAGAACAGCAAACAAACTTCTTAAAGTACTGCATTTTTTCCATATTCTTGTATAGAAGTAGTGAAATGTACCTCTGACGGGGGAAAAATTTTTCTTGTGGCACAGAGCTTTACCAAATGTTTCACTTGTATACTTGAGCTGCACTTTCTCAAGGTGGTCACAGGTATTCCTTTCGATACATATCATTCAAGTACAGTTCAGAAATTCACTTATTAATTTATTAATTACAAAGCACAAACATGTAGGAGAAGGATTAATTTGACTTTCATGGCATATGTTTTATCACTCAGCGAATAAGTGGCATAGCCACGGAATAGAATACTACGTAACTGAATTTAAATAATGTTTTTCTGGCATTCTTTAAGTAAATGATGTGTACGATTCGAGACATAGATGCGTTAAAATAGTATTCGTCAAAAAATCTTCTTTTTGTAGAATGAAAGTAGAAGCCTTCAGTCATTTATTTGATTTCAGTTTACACATTTGTTAATAAATTCTGAGAATCAGACTAAGAAATATGAAGAATATGTTTCAAACATTAATAAGCAAAAGTAATCAAAGAAATAAACTTTTATATCGCATCATGACAGATCTTATGAAAAGAAATTTAAGGATAACATTGATTTTACTTTGTCATCTGCTAAATTAAACATGTATCAATGTTTATAATCAAAGACACATCTGAACTCATTCATACGATCAAAAACTATTGTTTAAAGTTAATTTACTATTTTAATTTAACTAATTGATATTAAAATTAGGGATGTAATATATATATTCGAATTTCACTAACTTTGAACAGATTCCAAATTAAAAAATTCTTAGCTCCGAAAACTTTCTTTTAAAGCCTAAAAGGGCTAGTGGTCAGAACAACATTTTATGTTGATTCCATTTAAAAGTCGCCCACTGTAAATGTGTTGTTTTACTATTCATTCGAGTTTATTGTCATTCAGTAAAATTTAAGAACTTTTAAATATAATCTGTCTGTTACAGATTAACAATGCATTTAAAAGAAAAACATGCAGTTCTTAAGAGCATTATTTTTTTACTTTTTAATTTGATTGATTTAAATAAAATTCATAGTAGCTAATTAACAACATTAACTATTTCTCTAGATTTACGTTTTTTGTTTTTTCACTTTTCCAATCTACAGATTATATATAACGTTCCCATGTCAGTCTGAGTGTAATATGTTTATCCTGTATCCCATAAAATGTTTAGCTTTTCCACTTGTGACTTCTCTATTGTTAATCTTCTTTTGATAAAAGTTATTAAAGGTAAAAAGAGCTCTTTTGCGTGATCTTTAAGATCTGAACTATTTTAGTTTTCCTTCCCGTCTCCGTCATTAGAACCTGTCGAATCCTAATTTAAAAAACTATTAACGTTTTAACTAAAAACTGTAGAAATTTTATTTATAGTATTAATCAGTTACGTCCAATAAAAGCATTTGTTTAAAAGGGAACTAATTGGTGCAGTTTTAGGATCTCAGTCACTAGTGTCATCTCCGAACAGAATTTAGCATTTCAAGTTCATAGTTTATATAAATTAGTTCTTGAAATAATCCTCTTATCTCCACATTTACTTTGATTTAAAAAGATTTTGTCAAGCTATAAAACATTTGCATTCAAGTTTTCTCTATCAAATTTGCCTGAGAGGAAAGGTTTCAAGATCCGAATTAATTATACTTTCCATCTACAAAATTTTATTTATATCTTTTAAATAAATGTCTAAAAGGACTATTTTTCAAAACTGCAGTCTTAAATTTCCTTTTCATTAAATGAGGATTTCAGGTTTTGCTTTAATATTAAGTAACTTTAATTCTGGTAATATTATGATTCGAAAGATTTGAGATTTGTGAAATTAGATTAGTCTTTAGGATGTGGAATCGGATTCGAGAATATTTTGCTCTATCCTCAACTAGAATATTTATGTTTTATCACTGCCTTATGGGAATTTTTTGTACTCGATACAAAATGATAAATACGAAAGTGCTGTCTTGATAATAAAAACCCAGATCTTTTAACTTAATTAGTGTACATGTAGGAAAGTTACTAAACGGGTCATATTCATACATGATGTCATATTACCTGCATAAGTTTCTCCTTCCATGCTGGATAGGCAACGAGGCTACTTTCTTTCACCTGCTTCTCTATCGCTTCCTCTAGTTCAGAATTCTGTTTCTTATGATCACGAATGCCGGGAAAGAGGTCGTTTAATAAGGACAAAAATAGTGGCTCATTCTCATCGATCTATGACAGCAATATTTACAAACAATAATTCAGTTTAGGATTTATATTAACTATGATAATTCAAAAACTGATGTGAAAATTGTGCAAACATACTTTAAAAAAACATTTGAAAAAAAATTATATAGATGTGAATAAACTGCGTATAAAAATAATAACTGACTTTAGTTGAGATAAAAAGTTTTAGAAAATATCAAATGAAAGCTTTTCGAAGCAATATTCATGTATCGTAAACTTTCTTTAAAAATAGTGTAATTAAAAATAATTAACTTTAACGTGTTAACTAACTTCAGAATTAGTTCAAAGCCCAGTTTCTTATTAATTAAAAACAAACTCTGAATACTAATGTCTTACGTATTAACGTAATTGGAAGAAAATAGTTTAAATCTGTAGTTTGTCATTCATTTAATGATCATGTCAAACTTTTCCTTGTACAATCACAATCATGCAGTCGATTTCTATTCATATGTGAAAAAATTAATAAACACAGCGCTACAGTCAATCCAGTATAACAAAGCAAGATAAAGTCTGTTGGACATTAATTAATGGTTTTGTCTCATCGTTGCATAAATGATGATTTATTATCACAAACGACACATTCAGTCTGAGAGTTGTTACTCAAGTCTTGTTAAAGTAATGCCCAGAGTAGTAATTTATTACTTATATTCTTTATAATAGCATAGTTATTTATTATTATTATAGAATTATTTTACGTTTCCACTGAAATATCTCTACTGAAACAAAATATGATCATCTAAAAAAATACAATTTTTATACTAACTTTGTTACAAATATGCTAATTAAAAAATGTAATTTACAAAGATTATTTTAAACATCCCTACGTCAGTAGATTTTCACTAAAATGCATGCCTGGAGTTCCGCAATTACATTTCTTCAGGAATAACTAAGTCTCATATTTTTTATAAATAAATTAGAGATGCCTATTAAATATTGAGTGATTTTTGACCCATTTCAATTACATTTACATAAACCACTTTGGTTTACGTTTTAATCAAATCTTTGACTTAGCCTAACAGGATATTATACAAAACCAATTATGTGACAGGCTAGTATTTAAAAAAAAAATTAGCTTTCTTACCAGTTTCGATAAATTCATGTCTTTTAGTACTCGCATTACAATAGCACTTTCGGAATCAGTGGAGTTGGAACGTTTTGTTGCACCAAGTGTCCTTAGAACAGACAGAATATTCCTGAGTCCAAAATCATAATGAACCTATAAAATAAATTTAAAATTTACATCAAAATATTTGATAATATGTATCGATAGGCTTAAATTAAAACGTATGATAATGTGTAGCTTGAATTTAAATACATTATAGTACGCAACAATAGATTTAAATTGAAACTGTATTAATTTGGATTGTTTTCGAATGAAAATATAGCCAGGCGCCTTAGATTTCAAAAATAAATTCACCATAAATCACAGCAACCTAGGAACCAAGATCTGTGGTACACAAGAAAGAAAACTGTCGCATTTGAATTACAGCATTGCGTATACAATATCCAAAAGTCCTTATACGGCTTTTTTTTCTCAAACATTGGTAGTAGACTTCCAGTTACTAAAATGTTTTAAATAACGCAAATATTCATATTTTAGATTATCTAAATTTACAAAATTAGTCTAATTAATTTACAAAATTAAATAGAATTAAAATGTATTTTACAAAAATAAACTTCTTATACTGCATCTAGTCTAGTACATTTATTAAAAGTTTATATTCATTCTATAAAATGAACACAGAACAGATTCCCGTATGGCAAAAATGGCCGATGTAATTAATTTTAAAGCTTTAGATCCTATTCTAGGGTTATACACAAATTGAAGAGAAATATATTTAAATTTGTATATAACCAAAAATGAAATATCGATTTAGGAAAAGATCATTACGAGCGTTAATATGCAGATGTCTTGAAAAGTTTTAATCAGTATAATTTTTTTTTCAAAAGATCTTCATTTTAGCTAACAGTGAAATCTCAGTTCACGAATTTAGTTCGTTCTGAAGGTCATTCGTCAGCCGAAGTGTTAGTAAACCCAAACAATTTTCCCCATAGAATTAATTTAAAATAGATTAATTCGTTCCTAGACCACAGATGATTGCTTATTTAAACTTTATGTGAAGTTATTCCAGTACTTTGTGCACACATTCATAACCCGAAACCAATGGAAATCATTAAATATAAAACAAAACGTTAAACACAAAATTAAAGAGATAAAATAATTTAATTTGATTGCACTTGTACGAAGAAGAATGGATGCAAAAATGGAAAATGTCAGGTAACTGTCATTAGAGGACATTTTCTTTTATCATCTTATAAGGGCCACTCAACCCTGCTTGTGTGGGGACCTCTGTTTCACTAATTAACACAGCCTCTGTTTCACTGAAAATTTGTCCAATGCGATTTGTTTGTTACCCAGATTTTAAAATGTTTCTAAAGTGAGACATTGGCATTGCACTGCCACTTAAAATCTTTATGTTGTAGCTTGACAGTCTTCATTAAGGTGAAATCCTTACATGAAAATTGTACATTTAATCATATTTTGCCAAAACTTTGAGCATTAAAGTGTAGAGTCATTAGGTTTATTTCGCAAAAGAAACGTTAAAAATTAGCAATGCCAGCACCGGGACTTCAGCTCCGGTTTTTCATGTAGACATGGCCTGTTTTACAACTACACCATGAAGGCACGAGATAAAAGGGGAGAGAAAGTCTTATATCAGAGCTAGGATAATTTTTCTCTTCCTTTCTTGAAAGCATTTCTTTCAAAATCGCCTTCTGGTTCTACTTCTGATATCATATCATTTCTTTTTTGTTTCAGCTCATTTTTCGTTGAACCTCTAGTAACTTTATCCGTTTATTGTTGCTTCCTAGTCAATTCCTTTTCCGAGATATACAGGCAACAAATGACAATATTATAGATAACAGAAATGTTCTATGTGTCAAAGCTACCGTGCTGGAGGAATGTATAATAAAAGAGCTGTGATGCCTTTTCCTCTGCCACTAGTCCATTTTCAGAAGCGAGAAGTAAATGTGACTGTTCCATCCTTTTTCGATATACGTTTTCAGCTTTAGTCTGCCTTTTACCGAAAACATACAGACTTGCTCTGTGACAACGTACTGTTCCATCACGATAATGCTAGACTTTATGTAGCACGGTAAATTCAGGAGTGTCTAGCGGAGTTCTGATGTCAACTTCTTCATCAGTCTCCATACGGGACCAACCTAATCTCTAGTAACTTTTCATTAGCGATGCCCTCAGAGTTTACTTTGGCGGTATACGGTCGCGGATACTGCAGACAAAAATACACAGACAAAATATCTATATAAAAATCTGTGTAAAAACAGATTCCTATTCCGGAGATACAGGATGTAGCAGACATTTGAACCCTCACACAGCAATGAGATTAGATTCTCAGAGCAAATGGGAGTTATGCGATAAAATAAAATTGGTTGTGACATAAATATTTCATACATCTTTATTTCTGTGGCTAACTGAAATTTATTTGTTGATTGCCCTACATTCTGCATCACAGTTCCAAAACTGTGCTTGTACTACTAGAACGTTAGATAAAATAGAACTTTTTCCAGCTGGCACAGCTATGCCATTTCTGTGCACATTATCATATTTTATATAAATACTGACTACGAGCTTCTGGTTGATGACGTCTAAATTTTCATTCTAACATATGTTTAGGAAGACATGGCATGTTATGGGAGATGTCAAATGAGCTCAAACTGTTGTCAGAATTTGCTGAATAAAAGTCCTATTAAACATCTCATATACAAACAGAATAAGAAACGATTATCTTTTAAGCATGGATTATAACATAGTAGTAACTTTTTTGCAGCATGAATTCCATGATTATTGTTTGAAAATTTTAAGAGATTGTTTAAGATTTTGCGAATATTAAATTTTTCCAGAATGTCGAGTCAGTCTCCTAATTTCGAATATTTTTCTATTATTTTGTATTTTACATTATCTTACATTTATTAAATAGTTATACTACCTCCAGTTTTGCTTTTAGTTATGCTTCGTTGCAGTTTCCACAACACTGTTCTTCCAAATAATCCTACTCAAAATCTAAGCCAAAAGAGCTAAATTCTGCACAACTTTTAGAATACCAAACAAAGTAGTTTTCTGAAATTTACGTTACGTCACTCTCCAATTCCTTTCATCACTGAAAAACAATTTCGCTGCCGAACAACATAATTATTCTAAAACCATACTACTTAATGAAGAAAATGTGCGCGTGTGCTGTTTTTAATGAATAAAAACACTGTCCACTAAAATAATAATTGGAAAAGATGATGTTGAATACATAATTAAAATTTTTTTGGTTTGCAAATTTAAATTTCAATTAAAAGATGTATGTGATATGTTTTGTTACATATTAATTATATGTAGCTTCTATGTTCCCCAAAACTATGTTAATCATTAATCGCGAAATTTTTAGTATAAATTCTAAGCTGGGAATTTTTAGCCAATTTTTATTGCTTACTTAGCTACTTTGTGATTTTTGCCTTTATTTCTCGGTGACAAAATTACTGCCTTAAGTGACAATACCTCTGGTATAATTTCTGCGTAAAGCTGGATATTTGCTTCACTAATGTTTCCTAGATTCTTGATGTATTTTTTTATGTTTCTATAAATTGCGGAGTAGTTAAGTAGCTACTTTATCTCTGCGAAGTTTCGAGACAGCATGCTTTAGAACACATGTCTTGCTTTAGAACATATTTGATGTGAAATAATACGTGTTATTATAACATATAAGTAAAATTGTATCCATCTTGCAATATCAGCAAAGACAGAATACAGCAGGTAACTATTAACCTATTTAATCATCTCACCTGCCTCCTTTGAACTGAAAGAAATTATTCTTGAAAAAATATCTGATATGACTGCTATGTGTATTTTGGCTTTATACTTGTCCGTAATTAATAAGTATTCTCACACTTTCACGTTTCTATACATATGGGGAAAAAATTAACCACTAGCTTTAGCCGAAGAATTTTAAAAATACCTCGCTTGTTTAAAGACTGAAATTATAAATTATCGTATTTTAACGAAATATTAAGCATATATTTTTAAGTCTTTTTTACTGCATTTTAATACCTCATTTTGTATGACTTAAATAATTCAAGTAAATGATCCTTAATTAAATTAAAATAAATACATACAATTACGTAAATATTTCCCGTGAATTAGTGAAGAGAAATATCATTTCGCAAATTAAAACATTGATTTACATTCTCTTAACTATGATTAATACACTGAAATTGTTTTCTCATAATAGTTTTCTTCTTTTAGTACATCAAGATAATTCTCCCTTTACAAATTAAATGGCTAAAAATTTTTAATGTATATATTAAAAGCCTTCATGAATTGTAGAGATAGTATTTTGTGGCAATAGTTTTACAGCGATGCTTCCTTTCGGCGAACGGCTGGTCTTCAAATTCTTGCATATTTTACGCATCCGCTTGAAAGCTGTGTTAATTTTTGGTCTTTCTTTAAACTTTTCAACAGATGGTTCACCACTTCCTGCGAATTTGAAAACAGTATTTTTTCTTGCATTAGTGTTCGTATAATCGTGAGAAAATTTTACTGAAGCGATTGAAGAAAATGTTGTATAATTATAATTAAAAATATGAAGTATATTTAATATTCCGCATCTTGTCTTTTTTAATTTGGTTTTTCGTCGAGAACAAGAAGACTTAATTTTTAAATAATCATTGGTTGATTTATTTGCATTCTTTGACGGACTATTAATTTCTACTTGGTCCGCTTCTTTTGCAGGTGACAATGGCAATTTTCTGATATCTTCCCTAGTTAATAACAACGTGCTTGGAGTTTCAGGCGATAATTCTGTTAATGCAACGTTAAAAAACTGCAAAGAGCTTGGACAAGAATTACATTTATCAACATTTTTACGAAATATTTTCAAGTATTCAAAAGTACTCGGAGTTGAAATATAGCGTTGGGATTTATACTTCTTTGCCATTTTTTTACTTTTTCGTGTAAAACACGATGAAATAGAATCCGTAGTACAAGTTGCTGCGCATTTTTTTGCGGATACAAAATTATTTTCTGATTTAACATTTTGTTCTGTCAGATCTTCGATAACTAATTTTTCTAATTCTAAATCTTCATAAATGGTCCTTTTGTCGTAGTTAGAACACTTCGTAAAGTCTCTCGTTTGATATAAAGGAGTAACGTTATCAAGAAATGAATGTGCCAGTCCAGATGTGGCAGAAGCCCTTCTCTTTGGGTCTTCTACTAAGAAAAGATTTACAAAGTCTAAAAATTCTGCAGTAGTTTCTGCAGTCAGCTTTTCAGCCCGCCTGTGAACACGGCGAAACTCAGAATAGGTCTTCTGTTGGGAAGTGATGGATACAACTTTTGGAAAAATATCCTCGTCGTAAGAATTTCTCTCAGTTATTAAACGAAACAGAAATTGCTTGGTAAGCACTTGAAATACTAAAATACCATAAGTCCAAAGTTCAGCAGCAATGCCGTCAAAGGGACGTTTCTTCGTTTCCGAAGCAACTTCTGGAGGAAGAGATATTAAATTTAATCCAAACTGGGTAGCATATGCATTTTTGGTAGTACTAAGCGTAGAAAAATCCCCTATAATAGCTACATCAGTTTTGCTACATATCATTATATTTTCTTCCTTCAAATCCAGATGGCAAAAGTTCTTACTGTGTAAATATTCTAAGCCTTTCAACACATCAAGCATGTACAATGTTTTCTTCAAGAAGCAGTGCTTATTCTTATGAAACTTGGGTCTTTTCTTGTACAGAACATTAAACAGGTCATCACCTACGAATGGCATTATATGAACAACTAACTCATTCCTTAAATTATCTGTTCTGATAAACCGTAAAAGATTTATATGCTTTAAATACGGCCAAAAATATGTCTCTCCTGGAGTTGATTTTGTTACAATTTTTGCAGCAACATCTGCGTCTGATCGCCTATCATAAACTAGAAACACTTTACCATAAGATCCATGTCCAAGACAATATTTTACTGAATAGTCCTGACAAGAATAAAATGTTTTCATGCAACACTTCGATGATGGTTCATTTACACCGGACATCTTAATTTTTCATCCTCTGAATGCGCAACCTTTTGTTTACATTTCAGCACGTAGGGGTAAATCCGTAGCAGTATGTATTTAAAGGAGAAAAGCTCGAGATACTAATAAGTTATAAATAGCTAACACATATACTATATTACATATTTTAAGCTTTTCAAATGGCAATAGCAATGCATTTTAAACAAACAACGGTCATATAAGTTATGTAAAGAATGGTAACACTCCTAAAATATTTCTCTTAAATTATCTAGAAGCTCATGTCTTATATAAGCACAGCTAAGCGAATTCGGAGTTTTTCCCACTCTATAAGTTTTTTACTCTGCGTTTTTGTGTATTTATTCGGAAAATTAAAACTTATATGAGAAACGAGTCTTCACAGCCTGATTTCCTAAAATGTCCTATGAAGAAATAAACAGTCTTTAAAACGAATAAAGAAATGATTAGCAAGATTTCTTCCCTAATGAAGCAATATAAGAAAAAATGTATTCTAACATACCAAAAAACATAAAAACTGAATTACAAGAAATGAAGCAGATTCTGAATGAACATTACCCAAAGGAAATGAAATTTGGTTCGGAAGATTAAAGATTACTATGCACCGAGTGATCATGTGAGGACAATCTATAGCGAAAAGAAAATAAAACAACGAAAAATCAGGCTGGAAGGAGTGAAAATGACTAAGATAAAATTACGGAGAACGAGGTAAGATATAACTCTTCCAGAAAATCCCCTAGAACTTCCACTGAAGAAATACAGGTGGGAAATTTCATAGCTAAATAAATTTCCCCCACTCAGCGGTGCGGAGACAGAAGTAATGAGAAGCGAAAGTCCTGAAGGAGCAACTGAAAAATTCCTCTTATTGTGATTACAGACACGCTGATATTGATTATCGTTGCTTGGATCAGAGCTTCTAGCTTCGTGCAGGAAACAATATGAACAGAAGTAAAACGTTCTTCCATATTATTCATGCACAGAATCATGAAAATTTCATCTGAATTCAGGAAAAGCTAAGAACGATAAGTATATCTTTTCACACGTAACGGTTGAAGAATGAAAGGAATATTTAAGCAATCTGAGAAAACGTTTCCAGAACAACGCCGAAAGAAAAAAAAGTCAGAAATGATTTAGCGAAACGAAATTTTCCAGTTCTAAAAGGGAAGCAGTTTACAAAAAAAGGAAGAAAAACGAAGACAGTATTGCGTATCTCGCCCTATACTTCCTTGAACTGGAGAAAAGCGAAACTGATCTATCCATTTTTAAGGTGAACAAACAACATTATGAGCATTAGTATGCACATCAAAGAATACGAGCTTAAGAAGAAAGGGCCAACCTAATGGTATAAATGCCAGCGGTAAAGCCATATTCAACATCTGTGCTTCGTTCGCTGTGTAATCTTCAATAAAAACCCAACGAAGTGCCAAATGCCCTAAGGCTGTTTGCATTTTCTGTAACCTGGCCTCATGACAGCAGCTTTAGTGGTTGCCCAGAATGTAATAAAAATTTGTCTAATAATCTAAGAAAGACTAAATAAAAAAGAGAAAATCAAATGCTGAAGACACCCCCCTCAAAAAAAAAGTTCGGGAATAATCGAAAAATTCAGAAGCCCCCATTCCTACCCAAAACAGAAGACAATGCAGAGGAATAATAAAAATATACGGCAGAAATGCGGAAAAATCAAATCAAGGAAGCTCAACTGACATAAACTGGGTAAGCATGATAAAAGAAATATTTTCCATTTTAAAAGAAAGCAAAGTTACCATCCTAAAAGCAGCAGAACTATTCCTGAATTAGTTCGTCCAATACGATATCAAAGATAATCTCCAGCTCTCCACCAGAAAAGAAAATTTTATCACAATTAGTGATGGTCAACTTCGGTACATTCTTGTACCCGGTACGAGAGTAACGGGTACAGACAAGTACCCGGTACAAAAATACCCTTTACTCAAGTAACCGTTACTTTGAAAAGTACCGAAAACCGATTTCAAGTACCGAGTACCCAAGTAACGATTTGGAGTACCGAAGTAACGAAATACCGGAGTAACAGTTTGCTGTACCGTAGTACCCTAGTACTTGCTGTACCGGAGTACCCTACCGGAGTGCCCTAGTAACGGTTTGCTGTACCGGAGTACCCTAGTAACGATTTGGAGTACCGAAGTACCCTAGTAACGATTTGGAGTACCGAAGTGCCCTAGTAACGATTTGGAGTACCGAAATACGCAGCTAACGATTTTGCGCACTGAAGGAACTCTGCCACGTCACCACGTGTTTGATTTTATCTGTACGGAGTAAGATTTTGAATATCAGAAAACATGTCAACTACGGAAGTGTCTGAGGAGCAGACCATTCATGGACACAAGGAGCGCATATCACCATTTCGCAAATACAACCAGATACTACTGTCCTCGTACCAAAACCGAAGTGAGCTGAACCCTCATCGATCCTCCAGTAACGAATACCGAAATACCGAGAAGAGACGCATGTTTTCGTTACAAAGTAACGAATACCGAAAAGCACTCGTTTCGGTACAGAAGTAACGAATACCGAAAAGTATCCGTTTCGGTGCAAAGTAACGAATACCGAAAAGTGCCCGTTTCGGTACAGAAGTAACGAATACCGAAAAGTACCCGTTTCGGTACAGGGTAACGAATACCGAAAAGTACCGATTTCGGTACTGAAGTAACGGGTACTTGGATGTACCGATTTTCAGTACCCGTTACAACTAAGTACCCGTTACAAAATACCCTGTTCGGTAGTACCGACTCATCTAATCACAATCGTCAATCGTCACGAATTGGGAGAGTTAATCATATCCTCTATCACCAGATGTTGACACAAAGTTCCCGTTTTTTCGCCTTAGAGCGTTTCGCGCTTTTAACATCTTACTTAACGCCATCGCCTCAGGGCAATAATTCCACAGTACAGGTAAGTAACAGTTTTATGCTAAAACGTCAACTACAGTACTATTACGTTCCAAGTTCCAGTCACTTCTAAATAACAGTTCACCAAAGCTATAAAACTGTTCAAAATCAGAAATGAAACTGTTTACATATAATTATCTGCTCGATAAAAGACCCTATTCCTTACATAAACTTCTAGGGTATCTACAGTATTCCTTGCCATTATGGCTTAATTCATTGGTCGAACAAGGAGAGCCTTGAAAATTCTCCCTGAAAACCATGAGATTCACATTCGGGAAAAAGAAACTCTTGAATCTTTCATTGCCTGACACTGATGGTAAAGAAAAATCATATTTTCCATTTATGTGCAGCCAAAAGTATTCAATATCTTCGGCTGGCGAGTTAGAAATTCTGGTGACATTTCACACGCACAAAAATCTTTCAATTTTGATTAATGATCCCAATTTTAATCCCCCTTTACCATCCGCGTTTTAAGATTTTTTTGATTTTCTAATTGTTTCTCCTTTCCACTTTTTTCACTTGAAAAATTTATCAAGAACATTTGGATATTTGTTTCTAAATTAAAATATTTTCAATTCTGGCAAACCGACATATAAAGCTTTAAAATATTGATTTTATTTGTTCTTTTTTCTGAAAATATATGCATTTAATTCCCAAAAGCAGAAATTCCAAATTTTTTGCTTATGTTCAATTTAGACAGCTTTTCCCCTTATTATTTTCAGCTGTGCGATACTTTGATCTACATAAGAATATTAAAATAGAAGGAATTAATTATATAGATTAATATGCAACTATTATTTGTTTTTATGTAAAATAAATCTAACTATTAAGAATAATTTTTATTCTTATATTAAAAATGTTTTCTTAAACATGAAAACTGATTAAAAATATCGGCTTGTTAATCCATTAATACATAAAACAACAAAATAAAAAACTTACTTGTTTCGACAGCTGTTCTTCACACAGTTTATACAATGTGTAAAATTTTCTTGCCAGAGTTATATTTTCCAAAAACCCGCAGCTTGCCAATTTCACTCTTATTATTATTTGTCTGTCCGGAACCATCATAGCTACAGTACGAAATTGTATTTTCAGATTTTCTGGAAGTTCTTGCCGGCCAGCATAACCAGGATTCTAAAATAAATAAATAACTGATTGATTCTAAAATAACTCAAAACTGATGTTCATACATGTTTTGATTTTTCAAGGAAATACGATTCAGTATTAAATTTTCGATTTAAAAACAAAAATATTTTTTGATTACTACTTATATTCATTACATTTCATCAAACCCAGAAATCTCAGGCTAAGTCAAGAGAAATTCAAAATGCTTTTTTTTTTATTATTGAAATGGATCCAAATTTACACTCAACTTGTAAAGAAATATTTCGTAATTGGCTTCAGTTTTCATCGATAGATTGTACCAGCAACCACGTTTTGGTTATTGTTGGAATTTTCTAGAATCTTCTAGATTGTTATTTTCACTGGTATCGCGTTGCCTTTCGTCATTTTCACTACTGCAGCTGAAGAAAAAGGATCTATAGTAAAACCTTCGAAACTACCAGTGCAAATTAAAAACCTTGACGCTGATTCTTGTTATTTGAACTTCTGATAAATGTTATTCGGCTTGTTACTTTTACTTTAATTAGATTTGTAGTTAGTTGTCTAAAATAGTATCCCTCTTTCCAGGATGGTCATGAAGTAGTGCAAAGCATTGTTATTGACAATCAGCCACTTTGTTTACATGATTTAATTCGAAGCCATTGTTGTGTTGTGTTACGGTCTGTACCTCTTCCCAATCATAATTAAAAAAATTTTCATTTTAAAAATTTGGAATCAATCAAATTTGCCCTTCTTAAGAAGATTCTTAAAGCTGTAACTGGCATGCACTCTGTTTTCCTTCGCCTTACGATAGAAAACTTCCCTGTTGGATTCTTCCATGTTTTGTGTCAGAGAGGACTCGTAGCAATGCAGTGATTAGTAATATTAAGAAATATGTTTATTGCCCGTTCTTCTCTGTGTCTTTCTTTATGCACAGAATAATTTTTGTATTTATGTAACTTTCAAACAGAAATTAAACAAAAAATTTGCTTGCGGTTTGTAATGCAGGATCGGGTTCTTTAGTGGAACATTCGCTATGCGAACTGCAGCTGTATAATATCATATTCAAAATATTTCAAACAGAAGTTATAACGCTTTTAATGATCAACAGTACTGACGCAACTTGATCACTCAGATCAAGATTTTCAGGTCAGTTTATCTCAAGAGGGGTGGAGGATATTTAAAAACTTTTCTCTTAAATAAGAAGGTATAAAACATGTTACAATACATGTTATATTATAAGAGATGGTCAAAATTTTAAATTCGAGCACTGTAATTATTCATTCAATGTAATCATTCAATAGAGAGAAAATTGAAGAAATTACCTCTCTGCAATTGTCAATCAAAATTTTATGCTATACACCTCTTACAAGATTTATTTTGTGCAGTGTTTGAGTCATGGCGATCTAGAACACTAGATAAGGTTATTTGCAAAGAAATAAAAATTGTTTTTCACTCTTCACATTTCATAAATATACCTTTCTCCACATACTTTATGGAAGTTCTTTTCCTATTTTTAGAAAGATCCAATTAAAATAGAATTTCCTTGCAAGAAATTCGCATTGTCAGAATTGACATACAACTATTTAAGTAATACTGCCAGCGGTCTAAGATTTTCTCTTCCCTTTCTACTTAACTTCATGAGTTTCCATGTGAAATTCTTTTATAAGACTTACAGAATTATTTTAAAAAGCGTCTGCAATCTAGAAAATAAAATTCGTAAGCTATCTGGATTTCGTGCATATTCTAATTCTAAAAGTGCGTATTTTATTTAGTGAATATTCTGAAAGTGCTTGATAATCCATTCCGCGCTTTAAAAAGAACTTTATGTCTGCCTCCCGTATTTTCCCTAACATGGTTAGTTGAATTTGGCTGGATTCAGCTTAGTTAATGTCAGTTGCCTTATTAATTTCGTGTTCTTTCTCAAGCTTTTAATAATTATGAATAAATTATTATGAGGAAACTTTACTCCTTACTTTGAATTTGACATAGTAATTAATTAAAACTGCTTTAAAATGAATTCTGCAAAGAATTTTTCGTGGCGTCTGTACGAACATATGTACGTACGTACGTATCTCGCATAACTCAAAAACGAGTAGCCTCAGAACGTTGAAATTTTGTATATAGGACTGCTGAACGCTGCTCAAGTGGACTGCCGCCCCTTAACTATAGTAAGCCTTACGGTATTTGTTTATAACATGTAGATGTGCACCTCGTATTCTGGTTGCAATCGGCCGCGCCAAACGTATATAAATATATTTATATATATATCCACTCTGTTACCCGGCTCAGTAATCTCAGTTTCTTTACTCTTATATGTTTGTAAATTGTACATTTTTTGCTTTAAAAATGATTGAATTATGTTGTTCTTATCTTTCGGTTGAGGTTTTTATGCCTTTAGTAAATCTGCACGCAATATTTTTAGAATTATCAACAATTTTAAAGTTGTTTAAGTGCCGCTAAGCCTAATAATGTTTATGATGGCGGCCATTGCTTGTTTACATTTGAAACAGCAGAGTAGTGGATTTGTTGCCAATCTAGAGAAACGTAGCTTCGCAACAACAAAGATAATGCCTTCATTTATTATTGCGAATTAAATCATGCTTAATCATTTCTGGAATTTTTTCGAGGAAATCGGTGTTTAAGATTTACTTCGTAAATTTTAATACAGATATTTTGAGTTTTTGTGTATTTTTACCTTCTCGCGAAGGGAGAACTGAATTAATTGAATACGAAATACTAAATAGTCTGTGAAAAACTGTTTCTTTTTTGTTTTGTTTTCTTAATTTCTTTTATACATCGTTCTAGCTTTATTATAGTATTTGAATAGAACATGTGGCAACGATTAGATAATTCTTTAAATGATATAAATTTTGTGCATTCTGAGTTATAATATGAAAGAAATATAATACTGTTAAGTGAACCTAGCGCCAAGTGTCGCTATGGTAAACAGATAGAGTGAATTTTAAAGAATTCGTTTATTGTATTGTGGTTTATACGCTGTCAGCAAAGTAGGTTTAATTCAATCCAATAAGTTTAAACGGAATGCAAGAAAAAATGCGTATAATTTAATATTCCGTACAAGGAAGTCATGTGGTGTACACATAAGATTTTTTTAAATTAAGATGAATCTGAAGTCGCTTAAGTCATTAAAAAAAAAGACGAATTGACGCTCGTGGCGGATTAATAATTCCGATAATAATAATAAGTTAAGATTAATAATTCCGAGCAGGGCGAAAATAGTTACTTTGAAAACTTTAATAGAAAGTTCATAAGTTTATGCAAATGATGCTGAATTTGTGCAAAATGTTATTAATAAAATTTTAGAGGAAAAGAAAATGCAAAGTGAGAAACAAAAATCGGAAAGCGAAATTAGATTAGAGATAGAGAAAATAAAACTTTCTCAGTTAGAGGCGGAATTAGCTTCAGCTAACAATAGTAAAAACTTGCTAGAAAATCCAAACGTTGAGACGTACACATCCAAATCGAAATATGTCAAATTTAATTAAAAGTGTCTTGAAAGGGCTTTTAGGACAAAACAAGTCTCTGAAGATTTAAAAGCAGAAATATTATTAAATATTTTGGGAGAAAAAATCACAAATTTAATGGTATATGTGAAGGAAGAAGATATTAATAATTACGATGAAGTAAAGTCTATAATTTTAAAGGAATTTCAGTCAACTCCTCGAGAGTGCTTAAATTATTTTCGTTCTACGCAAAAATTGACATCTGGGAACTTTGTACAATTCACATCAAGGTTAAGTGCAAATTTTGAATATTATTGTCAGTTGAGAAATGTAAAAGATTTTAAATCTTTATATGATCTTATGGTTTCAGATAAAATATTGTGAACTTGATCGTGAATTAAAGACCCATATAGCAGTTAAACAGGGAGAGACATGGTTCGAATCCCAAACTTTAGGTTCTGAATGCGATATTTATTTATCATCAAAAGGTAAACAGAAACTACAATCCCTTTTTACAAAATCATTTACAGGTAACGATAATAAAAGAGGCGATGGAAATAATGTTAATAAACATCGTAATTATAATTACAAAAATATGTCTAATGTATATGTATCTGGAGCTAGAGATCAAACATGTATTTTGTGTAAAACTAATCCAAACCACCCGTTACAAAATTCTCCTAATTTTAAACGGTAAATGAGCGAGTTGAAATAATTAAGCAAAATAATATTTCCTTCAAATGATTTTCTTTTGAGGGTAATGAAAAAAGATATAGACCGAGAAATCGTTGTTGTGGGAAACTTCATCACCTTATGATTCATTTCCCTGAAAGAGGTTATCACACTTGGCTACAGACCCTGCTAGACGGGACTTTTCTGAGAAACGAGATTCTGGTAGCACTGGTTTAAACGGGAGAGTTCTTAGAAAAAAGAGCCCCGCCTGAAGCGAAGTCCCGCCTAGCTACAGAAACGATGTTACGGCTACGAGGGATTTTTTCAAACTCACCGAAAATGTCTCGGATGGACCCAAGGTCATCTTGATGGGAGAAGGCCGAATCCAAAGGGATTCCCCCCTGATGTGACGTCACGTGCGAGGGCAATCCTACTACGGCCATGTTCAGACAGTATGAGTGTAAACAGAGCTCACGATTAAGCTAGAAGGTATGCAGCATTAACTGTTCCTTAAATATAGTAAATTTAACTTTTAGCAAGATCCAAGCTAAGTTTATTTATTAGTCTCTTAAATGTTTTCCTTTAATTAATTCTGTTTCACCTGTACTTCTTAGAAGTTAGTTCGTGATACTAAACAAACAGTTTTATGATAAATGCAAGCTAAAGAAATCCCCCCCCATTTTTATTCATGTTCTAATACATATTACATATGCCATAACACTCATGTTAAATATTATAACAATCCAGTAAATTTCTTTTGTATCTTTCATTTTTAAACTATGTATCAACCACGAATCTCGTAATGCTTTATTAGAATCATTTCTTCTTCTAAATTAAACAAGAATAATAATATTACAAAAAATTCTTAAAAGTTAAAAAATATTGAGCTCGAGT